CATGTTCAAGTATCCATTTTTAATAATCGTCTCAGTTTGTCTTAAGATTATGATTAAGAATTATATTATGGTGTGCCTGTATTATTTATACGATCCCTGATATGTTACAAGATTATCTGTACTTTTTTTAACCTTTTGACATGTATGTTATGTAGAAACAATGATATTTTTGATAGACTTACTTTATTATTTGTTATAGATGAAAGGTTTTTATAGCTTTATATATTGGTTTATTATCATGTTCAGTTGTTCACGTTTAATTATTTTGCGTGTGTTCATTGTGTTTAGTCGACCATGGTGCCGGCCACTGTGCATGTGAACCGTCTCTCAACCCATCAGCCGAACCTGGAAGCTGGTGCAGTTTACTCTCTTACCAGTTTTGATGGGACCCGCTGCGACATATGGTGCTACAAGGATGCTCACAATCAATATCCACCGGTTCAATACCAATGAAGGCAACATTTCAATTCCTCTGGAATTTGCAACTACAAATGTTGGATCCCTTACGGATTCAACATTTACAGTCCTCCAATATATGCTCATATGTCAGAACATCAGCACTTATTCTTCCCTGAGAATTGCTGAGAAAACGTCAACATACGTATCGGAAATGGTTTCGTCTCTCAACAACTATGAACAAACAAATGTACACATTATTTTACATTTAACTCATTTTAATCCTCCTTCAGTTTACATGATGGAGATACAAACTGCTGCATCAGTTTTGGAATCTGATGTGACAATACAAACAACGAAAGATGAGTACGAAGAATGTACCATATGCATGGACATAATTTCAGAGGGTCAAAATATGAATTCATTGCAATGTGGTCACATATATCATCATGAATGCATCACTAATTGGGTCAAAATCAACGATAGCTGTCCTCTATGTAGAGAGACAATCTTTTAAATAACATGTACCGAACTTTAGGAGAAAATAACCTCCAGGTTTTTTATGTTATGTTCTACTCATAAGTACTTTATTTTATCTTCTAATAAATTGTTTTCAATATTATGAAATCGAATTTTTAAATTTCTATACTAAAAATTATTTTTTCATAATTAATAAATTATTACATTATGATCAAAATTATATATTTCATAATTTCCTAATCATGATTTAGCTGTGATTATAATTTATAAGGATGACCAAATAGCAAATATTGTAAATTAAAATTTTAGTAACATTGTAAACATAACACCAACTAAATTAGACAAAGCAACAATAAATCGAAATATTAATTTTAAAAATTTTAATATATCAAGTTCTGAAAATTGTAAAAGTTTTCGAAATTGTTAATTAAATAAACTTATTCCGTTTAATCTTTTCTAATAGAACCATATATGTAAAATATAAAAATTAATCAACGCATGCTCATAACATCTTCCACTGAGTAATAAACCACATTCGTTATCCACTAACATTCAGTAAATATATAGCGCCAAACTTACTTAGCAGTAATACTGACATCGACATCGAGTGCTATATAAACTGCATTTATAAAATGTTTCATATCATATCAAACCCACCAAGAAAAACTAAGGATTAACTTCCGTACCAATATGAAAAATTCAAGAACTAAGCCCACATCACATGATATTTTATAAAAAATGCCATAATTTTGTTTTGTTGACACAAATGATAAACTCAAACAACGAAAATAACTATTCCCAAACTTAAAGATTAAGTATACTGAATTAAAACTACAACCATATAAAAACCATAAAATTACCTTAAATTCCATACGCACGGAATGTTAAAATCTCAAAATAGGTATTAATGAAGTTTGGAATCTCACGAATATTAAACTTATAATATTAAACCATATGCTTTATGAAATAAGTTTCAAAATGTAAAATATACAATAATCACTATGCTACACAATATACCATCCGTATATATCACACATAAACAAACACACTAATAAACAACAATATAAAATATAAATGGTCCAAGAATAAAAATATAAAAAATAAAAATAAAAAAAAAACGCTGAAGGCCGAACAAAAAATAAGTTGACAGATAAAAAAATGGAATAAAATTGTCTACATAGAAATCACATCCCGCGCGTAGCGCGGACCTCCCCTAGTATTATATAAAATATGTAAAATAATAATTATATATTTGTTTTCTTTAATTGTGGGTCCCACCAATTTGGGGGCTTCTATATCAATGTTTCGTTGGTGGGTCCTCAGACCTGGACCTGGATGACATATACCAACCAGTGAAGAAGTTAGAAAAGATTTTTGATCGGAGTCATAATATATAAATTTAATATTTAAATTAGATATATATACTATTTTAACAAAGTTCTTTTTTTACAAATTAGAGTGAGTTACCGTTTAAGACACTTTTGTCTTTTTTTTTGCAAGTAGAGACACATTGTGCATGTGAAGCACTTTTTCTATTTTCGAGGTATTATTTGGACATATTTACCCTTTGTAGACTGAACCAAATAATATATTTAGTTAACTAGTTTAGGTTTAATTAAGTTAGAGTATTAATTATGGTAGTTTTATGGATATGTTAGTTATTTACAGACGACACGATTTAAAAGGAAATAGTTGATCCAACGGTGATGGATATATGTTAAAGGATATGTTTAATAACGAGAACTAGTGGACAAACGAGTCGTGAATGAAGTAAGTTGTGGACATACGAGTTTTTAATGTACATATTAATTATACACATATTGATTAACTCAGAAAGAACAATTTAAGAACGATGTTAATACAATCTCTCTCACAAAACAAAATGGTATCCATATCCACAAAACAAATGCATTACCATCTCTCTTACATAAAAAAAGAAAAATCTCTGTTAAAAAATTTAAGAACTTGGATTCGAGAGCTGAAAAAATAAGTTCTTGAGACAGCTACAGAAATGACAAGGTTCACTATAAGTCTGAATCTACTTCTACTAGTAATCGTGGTAGCTACAAACATCCTCTCATATATCAGCTCTCTACCACCACCAAATTCTTCTAGTCCACTCTTAAATCATCACAATCCTATGTTTCTTCTGTCCATGACCACCTCCTCTGTCAGCTCCTCACAATCCGCACCACCATCAACCACCTCTGTAACCACTGCTGCCACCATCAACCACCTTTGTATCCACAAACCACCAATCAAACAAACCCACTTCAACTGTTTCCACTTTTGTATCCACTGCTGCCTCATCCACAACCTTAACACGATCTCCACCTCCATATCCCCAACCTCACGTCTTCAACCTCCATCACATCCTCCTCTCAGAGTATCCACGTCCACCACTGTATACACCACGGGTTTTCCACCACCACGTTCTCCTTAAGCCCCACCGCCGTCACCTCCACCACAACTTCCACCGCTTTTACGAGACTGGGCCTTGTTCATAATGATGTTCACTCATGGAAAATGCACAGATGATACTTCTGAAAGTGCTCCCACAATCCTAAAATAATCAGCAAACCTTCACCAAACAAACTCAAATTACAAAAATGATCAAACTTTATCCAAAAGAATCATTAAATCTCAATGAGATCGATAGAGATAACTTCAGACTCTGAGCCATCATCTCCATTGCCACTGCGAAGAGCTGAATCATGCCCTGTTGATCTCATCCACTGCCACCAGAGGGAGATTTAACGGTGGGAAAGGATTAAAATACAAGAAGGAAGGCGGACGCGACATAGACCTCGAGCTTTCAATCGTCGGCCGACCGTAAAGAGACGAGAACGAGTCTGTTACAGTGCAACGGAGGCGGCGACCACGAGTTGAGAGCACGACACGGAGGAAGAGCTGAGCACGGCTTGATAACTCACGATGGCTATGGAGATTTCAGGGAATGAGGGGACAAGATTGGAAGCTACGACGGCGAGATTGCCGAAGTGGATCAAGCTTGAATCACGGGGGATACTTAGGCTCGAGTTTATTTTCTTCATGTCCTTCGACTCAGATTTCTCCATGGTTTTCGACGGCAGAAAGAGGATGATAGATCACTGCAATTAGGGTTTAGGAAATTGGGAAAATAATTTTGAAATTTGAAACTCGAGATATGAGAGAGTATAAAACACGTGGATAATTACTTTATAGCGTTTATAGTTAGGATAAAGAGAAAAATATATAGTTGGGGGTATAAAAGACAAAGCACACATAGAAAGTGTGTGTCATGCAAGAAGTGTCTCAATGTGCAAATGAAAAGTGAGAAAGTGTCCCTAGATGTAAATTTTTCTACAAATTAATGGGGTTATATGAAAAAAATACATAAATTAGAGGGGTCAAATACTAAATTTTATCTAAATATTACAATATTTTTTAAAAAAATATACATTAAATTTTTTCCCCTAATTATAGTGTTGTCACTTGACCCCGCATGTCTTTCTCTACCTCCGCCCCTGATACCAACCGTACATCTCCCTAAAAAAGTTCTTGGTTTCATCAGGTGTTATAACCTCGGAAGCTACCATTACCACCGGTCTCCACGGTTAAAAGATCTCCATGAACCAAAAAAACCAACTTTAAGCCCAACAGAATGTATAATTTTTCTTTTCAAACCCAAATTATTGGGCTTATTATCATTTTAGGCCCAACAGATTGTAATACCGCGTCGAGACATAACAACATTGGTAACACCGATAACTTATCTCTTTGCCGTCGGTTTAGCAGACAAAACATCAAATCACTACCGTTGAATTAAAGTCGGTTTTTTTTTTTTTTTTTTTTTTTTTTTTTTTTTTAACA